GTATGTGTCTATGGATGCAGACAGCAGGACTGAAAGCGAGCCAGCATGAGCGCAGCCATAGGAAGCCTCTTCCTATTGGGGCACTCGCTAAAGAGGAGAGGCCTGGAGAGCTGGCAGGGAATCCGAGAAGAGGAAGATCAGGGCTGCTCTGTGCAAAACCACTGCACAGATCAGGTAAGTATGACATGTTTGTTATTAAAAAAAAAAAATATATATATATATATCAATCACACACTATAATGCCAAAAGTATTGGGACGCCTGCCTTTACATGCACATGCAGTTTAATGGCATCCCAGTCTTAGTCCGTAGGGTTCAATATTGAGTTGGCCCATCCTTTGCAGCTATAACAGCTTCAACTCTTCTGGAAAGGATGTACACAATGTTTAGGAGTGTGCCCATGAGAATTTTTGACCATTCTTCCAGAAGTGCATTTGTGAGGTCAGGCACTGATGTCGGACGAGAAGGCCTGGCTCACAGTCTCCGCTCTAATTCATCCCAAAGGTATTCTATTGGGTTTAAGTCAGGACTCTGTGCAGGCCAGTCAAGTTCCTCCACCCCAAACTGGCTCATCCATGTCTTTATGGACCTTGCTTTGTGCGCTGGTGCGCAGTCATGAAGGAACAGAAAGGGGCCATCCCCAAACTGTTCCCACAAAGTTGGCAGCATGAAATAGTCCAAAATGCCTTGGTATGCTGACGCCTTAAGAGTTCCCTTCACTGGAACTAAGGGGCCAAGCTCAACCCCTAAAAAACAACCGCACACCATAATCTCACCCCCACCAAACTTTACACTTGGAACAATGCAGTCAGGCAAGTACCGTTCTCCTAGCAACCGCCAAACCCAAACATGTCCATCGGATTGCCAGACAGAGAAGCGTGATTGGTCACTCCAGAGAACACATCTTCGCTGTTCTAGAGTCCAGTGGTGGCATGCTTTTACACCACTTCATCCGACACTTTGCATCGAATTTGGTGATGTAAGGCTGGATGCAGCTGCTAGGCCATGGAAACCCATTCCATGAAGCTCTCTATGCACTGTTATTGTGCTAATCTGAAGGCCACACGAAGTTTGGAGGTCTTTACCTATTGACTGTGCAGACAGCTGGCGACTTTTGCGCACAGTAAGCTTCAGCATGCGCTGACCCTGGGGTCTGTCATTATACATGGCCTACCACTTTGTGGCTGAGTTGCTGTTGTTCCTAGTTGCTTCCACTTTGTTATAATACCAATAATAGTTGACCGTGGAATATTTAGTATCAAGGAAATTCCACTGACGGACTTATTATACAGATGGCAACCTATCATGGTATCAAAACCAAAAATAGTGAAGCGCTAAAATGAATCCCTAAATACACACACCGTGCATATAATATTAAGTGAAAACCATACCTCATAAATAAATTATATCCGTGACATAAAAAATATCAATATAAAACAAAATATATAAGGAAAAACTTTTCCTTGCCCTTAAATTAATTCTTCAAATCAAACATTAATAAAAAAATCCATAATATTGCGAATAAACAGTGATGAAAAAAAAATATATATATAAAAAACTGTGTTAATTAACATATATATATATATTTGTGATTATTTCTAATAATAAATGTGACAACCTAACAGAATAAAAAATATAAAAAAATGTGAATCTCAATCAAATGTACGTGATTATTGTGAAAAAACCATATATTAAACTATTACATAAAAAAATCACTAGAACTTGTGATATTTCAAATATGAAAAAGTGTCCATAAATGAACAAACACAGTCCATGCAGTAAGGTGAAAACGACACTCAGTGTTCTTCACTTCTAGTGCTCATAAAAAAGAAAGGGAAGAAATCCTCCAATGGCAGCAATGCCTGCTCACCTCCCCAACTCGACCCGCAAAGGGCCACAAGGCTATAACTCTCCTCCAGGAAATCGTTTGCTTCCAAGCAGCTCAGTAAGGAATCACAGGACCTCCTCTCCACCTCCTCTCAAACGTTATATAGGACACAAACAGAGCTTCCCATAGTGTAATACCATTTGTTTATTTAAGACACTCCATATAGCAAACTGTTTCCACTCACATGCATTTGGTTAATAAAATGCAGTCCTCCTCATTCCCTGGGTGCATTCACATGTAAAGAGGGAAACCAATATGGTCGCTGTGCTCGGACATCCGTCCCCACGTGACCGGAAATGATGTGTCTCTGGGCTGGGAAAAACGTGCCGTTTTTTTAGGCACGTTTTTCCCAGCCCAGAGACACATCATTTCCGGTCACGTGGGGACGGATGTCCGAGCACAGCGACCATATTGGTTTCCCTCTTTACATGTGAATGCACCCAGGGAATGAGGAGGACTGCATTTTATTAACCAAATGCATGTGAGTGGAAACAGTTTGCTATATGGAGTGTCTTAAATAAACAAATGGTATTACACTATGGGAAGCTCTGTTTGTGTCCTATATAACGTTTGAGAGGAGGTGGAGAGGAGGTCCTGTGATTCCTTACTGAGCTGCTTGGAAGCAAACGATTTCCTGGAGGAGAGTTATAGCCTTGTGGCCCTTTGCGGGTCGAGTTGGGGAGGTGAGCAGGCATTGCTGCCATTGGAGGATTTCTTCCCTTTCTTTTTTATGAGCACTAGAAGTGAAGAACACTGAGTGTCGTTTTCACCTTACTGCATGGACTGTGTTTGTTCATTTATGGACACTTTTTCATATTTGAAATATCACAAGTTCTAGTGATTTTTTTATGTAATAGTTTAATATATGTTTTTTTCACAATAATCACGTACATTTGATTGAGATTCACATTTTTTTATATTTTTTATTCTGTTAGGTTGTCACATTTATTATTAGAAATAATCACAAATATATATATATATGTTAATTAACACAATTTTTTATATATATATTTTTTTCATCACTGTTTATTCGCAATATTATGGATTTTTTTTATTAATGTTTGATTTGAAGAATTAATTTAAGGGCAAGGAAAAGTTTTTCCTTATATATTTTGTTTTATATTGATATTTTTTATGTCACGGATATAATTTATTTATGAGGTATGGTTTTCACTTAATATTATATGCACGGTGTGTGTATTTAGGGATTCATTTTAGCGCTTCACTATTTTTGGTTTTGATACTTTATTACTTATTGGTTAAGGCAGAGTGTTAGCAGCTGTTAGGATAGGGACTTACCCATACTAAGCGCAGGAGGATATTCCCATTTATTAACCTATCATGGTACCATGCTTGAATTCACTGAGCTCCTGAGAGCGACCCATTCTCTCACAAATGTTTGTAGAAGCAGTCTGTATGCCTAGTTGCTTGATTTTTTTAACCTGTGACCATGAAGTGATTGGAACACTTGAATCAAATGATTTGGAGGAGTGTCCCAATATTGGCAATATAGTCTGTGTGTGTGTATATATATATATATATATACATATACATACACACACACCTTTAGAATCACTTTTAATCTTATTTACTAAGCACCTGCACTTGTAAGGTGCACAGTCTATTTGCCTTTAGTAAATTCACTCCACGTCTGCCAATTTCAGTTCACGAAAAGGCATGCTGTGTCATTCAGTAAGTGAAAATTAGTAGCTGAGAGTATTTCTGACAGATCATCAGATATTTTTCTGCACTTGTAGGGCCCTTAAAGAGATAAAGCATGGGTAAGGGCTAGTTTGCGCTGCAATCCCTCTGTTCAATGTGTAGTTCCACATGCTTGTTTACATGCATTTGTAATGAGGTGCATTTCCAGTGTGTTTTTAGGCATTTTTGTTTTATATATATATATACATTAGTTTGCATTGTGTTCATGTGTATTTATGTACATTTCAGTACACTTACATGCAAAAAAAAATACAACATGATGCACTGCTTTTAAAACACACATGAAAGGTAAACTAGGCTTATTAAAAATCCATTCTTTTTGCTTGCATATGTGTTCATACTGTCTGTAAAAATGCATTTGACTGGTGATGTATTGCTACACATGATTTAATTTTACCCTGACATACACCTATTATCATATTTTGAATTCTCCTACAAAATCAGGATATAGATTAAAAAAAAAATTGCAATATGTTTCTAGATATATACTGTATCTTTTCTAAAAACTGATCATGAGTTGTCAGAACTTTCTATGAGATAATCCAGACCTGTGCTGTGTCCAGATTGGTCGCTTTCACCTGTTTCTCTGAACACTCTAAATGCTGTTGGGCTGTCTTACCTCAAATGAAAGTGCAAGAGACCCCTGAAATTTCAGTGAGATACATTTACACTTATGAGCAAAAACTTGAACTCATCTGAACATTGCTCAAAAACGTTGTTTCTGGATTAGCATACTTGAGACAAATTTTAATTTCAGTTTTTAATATGTTTTTTTTTAACACATTAATTATAGCTCACGCAAAGGATACAGCGCAATTTCTTAAATAGATCATTTTACAAAAAATAGTCTTTGATCATTTATCTTACACATTGATAGGAGCTTTTTTAACTCTAGTGTTTAATTATGAAGTCAGTATATATATATGTATATATATATATATATATTATATGAAGAACTGTACATATTTGTTTGGACACAGTGCTATCCAAACATTTATATATATATATTTTCATTTGAAAATAATTAGAATTGACCTTTAAATACTACATATATTGAACTATGATTTGAATGAGGCTCAACGTGCACAATTTTCTTTGTAAGCATTTCATAACTCATCATATGAAAACAGTAGAGGTTGGGGGCATTATGTAAGCATTACTCATAGCCGTGTGTATAGCTGAGTGTTGACCTTACACTTATGTACATCAGTTTAAGCACAGACATTGCAGTGTCATGCTTCCATTTAAAAAAGCCAATTATCATTACAGTTGCATGGCATCTACAATGTAGGATATCGTTCTGCAAATGTAGACAAAATCACAGGTTTGCCTTAAGGAGTGTGAAAGTAATGGTGGCTTGTTTGGTGAACTCAGAGTGAGAACTGGCGCTATCATAAATATACCAGCCAATATATGACATTAAAGAACAAAAAGCAGAATGGAAACAATGCTCTTGAGTACAGGTCGATCCTTTTGGCTTCCGATGGAATGACGGGTTTGGCAGGAGGTGGCTTTTTGTTGTTTTTGGCTTGGGATTTTCCCAGACCATTGTTGACTTCAATTGGTTTTCCATAACAGTCGTAATTGGACAATTCGAAATCTCTAGGCAAGCTTCCAACAATGCTAAAGTCATTGGATCTCAGATCAGATTTAGACGTGCAGACTTTTTTGCATCTTGTTTCTGCAACCTGGGAATAATAAACAGCCAGATGAATTATTGATCTAAGAATATATAAAATAAACATCAAAACTGCAAATGTTACATCGATAGCAGAAATGTACCTGCTGGAAAGCAAAAACTTTTGCCCAAGTTCCAAAAAAAGCCTCTAGTTATATTAGGACATAATATAAAGTTCACTAAAAAGTAGTATGCAATATTGTGATAAAAATGCATTACTCTGCACCGAACATTGGTACAAATTAAAAATGTTTGTAATAGGGGTGGATTTACTAAAGGCAAATAGACTGTGCACTTTGCATGTACAGTTGCATTCATTTTCCCCAGAATTTAGTAAATAAGGTAAGCTCTGCTGATTTCTAGTCCTCCAATCATCCAATCAAAAATGCTGTTTTGTTTTTTTTTTAATTTTCCCTGCACCTGATATTTTACACCCTGCACCGAGTATTTTTTACAAAGTGAAGCTTTACCGCATTTACTAAGGAATATGAATGCAACTGCACTTGCAAGGCACACAGTCTATTTGACTTTAGTAAATCAAGCCCATGATTCAATTTATTTTTTAAAATATAAGCAGTATAAATATATGAATTTTACTTGGCCTCCTTAAATATCTGTACAGCAGAGCTCAGATTGGGGGAAGGGGAAGCCCTACAAGGAGCCATTTAATCCAAAGTATCCCCCGAGTTGGCACAGTATCAGCTGTCATACCAATACAAATATGAGCATCTGTAATCATAATGTAATAATGATATAAGAGGAAGACATACTTGTAATGTGCTGATGTGAACTGGTGTACCCGTCCCATTGACCGTATTCTTTTTTGCTGCATTGATTCCCTTTTCAGCTTGTTCAGCCTTTGCAATTTTGGCTTTCTCTGCTTCAATTCTCTTTGGGCTGTTCAGGAAGACCTGGACTACAGCATACTCGACTAGAGAGGCAAAGCCAAAGAGAAGGCATGTGATTAGCCACACGTCAATTGCTTTCACATATGACACCTTTGGCAGCTCTTGGGCTAGGGTAGTACATTCAGATGCCAAGCTCAGAACTGAAAATATACCTGGGGAAACAAGAGGAGACACAATTTAGGATAGGAATATGGAAGCGTATGAATATTAACAAGGGATAAATTAGTTCCATGCACCAAATATTATGCTTTCACACACGAGCTTGGTGCCCCTTTGCCATGGGTACACCACCCTGACCAGTATACTAATCATGCAGAAACCTGAAAATGGAGAAGGGGATTCGTTTTTAAGTATAAAATAAATAAATCACCCCTTCAAGTGCTGAACCTGTGAGTAGCACTATGGCTGGCTTACAACTATGCGTTTCTTAACAGTCCTAATAGATATTTACCTTAAAATAGATGGAAACTTGTCATGAAGCATGGGACACAGAACGTTTTCATTTTGTGATCTTTCAGGCATCAACCCTATCATCTTATACTGCTTAGGCTCACACTAAATGTAAATGTGATATGAATGCTACGGCCAATGCAGATCACTGCTGTTTTGCAATATCCTCTGCAATGGGCTGCATTGTGACTTGTAGAAGTGATTAGCTTTTTTGTCTTGGTTCATTTTCAACCATGTACACTATTTGCATAAAGTTTGTATGTGTTGTTCAGGTTTGCATAGATTTCCTCCAACATCAAAAACATACTGAAAACATGAATGGTTTCAACCCAAAATCATTCTTAGTTTATCTTCGCATGACTGTTGAGCTAGGAGAATTAGAGTGTAAGGTCCTTAGAGGTAGGGGCTGATAGAAACCTCTAAAGGATTGTGGAATGTGTTGGAGCATCTAGCCTACTCTGCATTCTTGGCAAGAGGAGGTAATGTTGAACTGTGTATACAGTAGTAGAATTTTGCATGAAAATTCTTAGGAAAATCCATATGAAAATTCTCTGTACATTTGAATGTTGTTCAAAAGTAGTTCAAGATTTTATTTCTTTTTACCATTTGATTTTGGTATGAATGGTGGACTTTACCGAATGAAAACCACATACATTGACGAATGTCAATTTGACCCCACTAATAATTAGAAAAAAGAAAGAATGTTCTTACAAGTAAAAATGTGAAACAAAATTCTACTAATGTATGCCCAGCTTTAGTGTTACCCTGTAAACTAACATGTCTTCCAAATCTGGTCTTAATGCCAGAGCTGGATTAATATCTTCATTACCATAAGCCGTACATTTCTGATAAAGTTTTTGTCAGTCACTCATTTAAAATTGATTGAAATTGAACTTCAGTCTTCCCGTTGGTCTTGCACAGCAGCAGGCTCCTCTCCAGTACTGAAATGACTCTGATTTGATTGTACATTGTGATTTTTTTCCACAGTGTGAATTTTTAAGCTGCAGCAAGTCAGATAGAGCCCACCTCATTTTCCAGCTGGTTGATGTCCGGCATTATCTAGTTCTTTCCCTTCCAGCTTTACTTTCCCTGGTCTGCCCCTTCATTCATTGGATTTCACTTTTTTCAGTCTTGGAAGATTAGCATCACCTGTGGGCATTACCTAGAACAGTCTGCTTGTGAATGCACTCAGGAACACCCACTACTTTCAAATGGACACCCACCTATGAAGGCACTTTGATATTTGTATTAGGGCTCTTTCACACTGATGCAGTGTGGTTTTCCTGCCCCGCAAGTACATCACAGTATACCTGCGGGTGTCTTGTGGGTTACCTGTGCTTAACCATAGACTATTGCATCAGATAGTTTTAGTACATTTTCTAAAAAAAAAACCCAGCAAAATTCCTGCAAAACCACATCACATCAGTGTGAAAATGCCCTCCTTGGGGTAGGGTGCCGTGATGTTTTTAGGAAGCTAAGTACAGCAGCCTGCTGGCCTCTCCCACCAGTCATGATGTGCCTGCATTGAATAGAGAAGCTCTGAGATCCAATGAAGACATTACTGTGTCTAAAATAAAATGTTTACAGTAGATAGCTAAAGTGAAAACATTACTAGGATATAGTCATAAATGAAATGATTCAATACAGCTGTAGAGTGTTTTAAAGTAACTGAAATCATGAAAACAATTTACATACTTGGAAGATGAGTCAAACGTGTTACACACATTCGCACACACGTGTATGTAAACAAAAAATGTAGAGTAACGCTAAATAACATAGCAGGCTTGACAGCATAGTTCTTACAGTTGAATGGCACTCCTTAATGATGTGTGATGACCATATGACTGGGTATTTCTCTGGCACCGTCCAATGAACTCATGTCACACATACAGATGAGAATGTTTTACTGACATAATGAAATTGTAACATCGATCTGAGAATGAAAAATGAGATCAGAACATGTGAAATACAGAATTACATATATGAGATGACTTGTAAATCTTGGCATAATACGCAGAGCAATAATGCACCTTTTTTTTAGCAAAATGTATCATGTAAAATAATGAGTAAGATTAAAATCTATTTCCTTACTGTGCATAATTTGGTTGTTTTTTTAAAAAATTCTGCCAAAATGCTGCTGCAGGATTACAAGGGTATTGTCATGTACCTGATAGGAGACTGAAATGATGAGGTCGGCCTCACTTGTGTCACTAGCCCTGATACCACTGGAGGTGGAACAGAGGGTGTCTAGGGACCAGGGGGACAAGAGCGCCAGTAGATGTTGTTTGCAGCTCTTGCAGATGATGACCTTGGAAGACTGATGAACCTCTGATTCAGGCACAGTAGTAATATGCAGAGCTGGTATGGTAGATCGCCAGGTGTGCACCAGAGCAAGGCAGGAAGCAGGGATGGGAGACAGGAGCAGTGTCATAGGAATAGCCAGGGTCATCAGGCGGACAGCAAGGTACAAAATCAGAAGCAAAGCCAAAGTCAGGAGCAGAGCCGAAGTCAGGAACAAGTATCAAGCAGGGGAGTAATCAGAATCAAGTCAGGAACAGGCCGGGTCAGCAACAAGGGGATCACACAGGAACAAGCAGGACATGGGGGGAGCTGAAGACCAGTCAGCACTCAACATGGGCAGAGACACCCTTTAAATAGTCCATCTGGCGCCAATCTTCACCGTGCGCACAACTCTTCTCCAGACGTTTCTATGCGCATGCGCATTTCTATTTGCAATTCGTCTCACCGTAAATCTCTTACATTGCCCCCCCCCCTTAGGGGCAGCCTCCGGATGCCCATTAAGGCTCGTTTTTCAGGATGAAGATGGAGATAGGCTCCAACTAACCGTGGAGCATGGACATTAGCGGATGGTTCCCAGGAATTATCCTCTGGACTGTAGCCTTTTCATTTGATGAGAAACTGGGTCTGACTGCCCCTTTTTCTACAATCCAGGATAGCCTCCACCTCGTATTCTTCATTACCTTTGACCAGCAGTGGAGCAGGAGTCTCCGGATCTCGATTGGGAAATCCACTTGGAATATTTGGTTTAACAGGGAGATATGGAATTCCGGATGAATCTGCATATTTTTTTGGTAGTATTAACTCTAAAGCCGCAGGGTTAATCTTTCTCTTAATTGTAAATGGTCCCAGGTACCTTGGAATAAGCTTCTTTGAAGGACAGTTCAATTTTAGGTTTGTCGTAGATAACCAGACTTTTTCTCCTGGTTTCAGATTTAGGTTGCCCCTTCTTTTTCCGTCAAAAAACTTTTTGTTACTCACTTGAGCTTCTAAAATAGTCTTTTGCAGTATTTGACCGTTCCTACGGAGGAAATCCATCCTTTCTTGTACTGCCGGGACAGCGGGTTCCACTGGTATTTCAGGAAGGAAGGAGGGGTGATATCCATAGTTGGAGTAAAAAGGGGACTGTTTGGTAGCAGAGTGAATAGAGTTGTTTTATGCGAATTCAGTTAACGGAAGGAGAGACACCCAGTCATCCTGTAAATAAGATGAGAAACATCGGAGTATTGTTCCAGAGTCTGGTTTGTCCTCTCCGTTTGTCCATTTGTTTGTGGATGGTATGCAGAAGAGAAGCAGAGTTCAATCTCTAGTGCCTCACACAGAGCTTTCCAGAGCTTAGAAGTAAACTGTACTCCCCGATCGGACACGATATTGTTAGGAACACCATGTAATCTTACTCTTTCTCTGATAAAAGCAGAAACGGGTTTCAGCGGCAGAAGGAGTCCCTTTCAAGGGAATGAATTGAGCCATCTTTGATAGGCGATCATTCACGACAAAAATAGTGGTGAATCCCTCAGATGGGGGAAGCTCTACAATAAAATCCATAGAAATCATACTCCATGGTTTTTCAGGTACAGGCAGAGATTCCAACAGGCCCCAGGTCTTGGCTTTATCAGACTTGTTTCGAAGACAAACTGAGCAAGATCTAACATAGCTCTTGCAATCCTTCATTGAGTTTGGCCACCAGAAGGAACGGGAGACCAAATTTGCGCTCTTGTGGATCCTGAAGTGACCCGCTAAAGGATGATCATGACATCTTTTAAGTATGAGAGTCCCAAGTTGTTCTGGTATGAAAATTTGTTCCTTGTGAAGGTAGAGACCGTCTCCTAGCTGAAGATGCATCTCCAAGGGGGGTGGATGATCATCAACCACTTTTCTTATTTGTGCTACAACGTCTGTTTGCAGGAGTAAAAAGTTCTTAGCTGGCAGAATCGTGTCAGGTTCAGATGGTACAATTGGGTCGTGAAACATACGTGAGAGTGCATCGGACTTACCATTCTTTGATCCTGGACGGTATGTCAAATGAAACACAAAGCGGGAGAAGAACAGTGCCCATCTTGCCTGTCATGGCCTTAGACGTTTTGCAGTTCTCAAGTACTCTAGGTTCTTGTGATCCGTAAAAATGAGGATAGGATGGTAACTCCCTCCAGCAAGTAGCGCCATTCCTCAAGGGCTGCTTTGATAGCTAACAGCTCTCTGTCTCCCAGGTCATAATTCCTTTCGGAGGAACTTAACTTTCTAGAGAAGAAAGCAACAGGGTCAAGAAGGAATTTGAGACCCTGTCGTTGTGACAATATGGCTCCAACAGAAGCATCTACTTCAAAGACAAAGGCTAAGGCAGGATCTGGGTGCTTCAGGATAGGAGCAAAGGTGAACAAGGTCTTTAATTGTTCAAAGGCTGCTTGAGCCTCAGGAATCCACCTGAAAGTAACATGTTGCCTGGTTAACTATGTTACTGGTGCAATGATCCCTGAAAAGATCTTAATAAATTTTCTGTAGAAATTAGCAAATCCCACAAAACGTTGTACTGCTTTCCTGTCTCTTGGAACGGGCCATTCTAATACGGAGGTCACCTTTTGGGGATCCATAGCAATGCCATTGGGAGTGATCACAAGTCCGAGGAACTGAATTGTCTGTCTCTTGAACTCACACTTTTCAGCTTTGGCATAGAGGTGATTTTGGCATAATCTATCCAGAATCTTTTTTACATGATCATTCACGAAGTGTTGGAATGTTTCTGGGGCATTACAGAGACCAAATGACATCACCAGGTATTCGAAATGTCCAAAGCGTGTTCGAAAGGCCGTCTTCCATTCGTCCACCTTCGCGAATTCTAACTAAATTTTAGGTGCCCCTCAGATCCAGTTTTGAAAAGACACATGCCCCTCGTAGCCTTTGGAACAATTCAGGAATTAGAGGAAGAGGATAGCGATTCTTGACAGTTATTTTATTCAGATCACGGTAGTCAACACCTGGTCTGAGGGTATGATCCTTCTTCTCGACAAAGAAGATGACAGCTCCCGCTGGTGTGTAGAGGGCTGAATAAACTCTTTTTCCAAGCTGAGACCTTGTACCGATGACAGCTCAGTTACACGGATGACTACACTCCCCTGTCCGATGTTACATCATACCATTATACCATGTATTTCTTTTACCTCATAAATGTGAGTGTTCCTACCTTTTATCTTCAATAAAGTGTTACGCTGCACTTAGAGGCGCTTCTTCTCCTTCTCATCACAGTAGAGACAGAGGTTGGAGTTTTGTCATCAAAGACATTCATCAGAGGACAACGGTGGTCTCGAGAAGCTCCTTCTAGGAGAATTATGATGCCTTCTTTTATTGAGAAGTATGTCTGATGCGACAACAGTAGTAGTGGAAACAGGAGTCTCCATCTCTGAACATATCAAGACATCCACGTTAGTCTTTTCATCCTGCCTCTTCCGGATCCGACGGTCAATGTGAATAGTAAGGTCTATCAGGACCTCTAGCCTCGTTGGTACCCCAACTTGGGCAAGCTCATCTTTCAGGGCGTTAGAGAGGCCAAGGCGAAACTGATAGCGGAGAGCAGACTCATTCCATTGAGTGTCAGAACTCCATATACGGAACTCGGTAACATATTCCTCTATAGGCCTTGGGCCCTGCTGTAGCTTGCTAAGCATAGATTCTGCAGTCTGACAATGGAAGGGATCAGTTGTGACATCGCTGAGAAAAAAAGAGTCCATCGAAGTTAGAGCCGGATCATGTTGCTCATGTAGGTGGTGTGCCCAGGATTGGGGTTAATTCTGAAGGAGAGAGATAATGAATACCACTTTGGTGCTTTGTGAAGCAAAGGTTCTTGGGAGCAGGGAAAAATATAGCTCACAGGAGTTACGAAAGGTTTGGAACTTCCTGCGGTCTCCCGTGAAAAACTCAGGCATAGGCACCTGGGGTTCCGGTAGAGGAGAAGTTCCATGAATCATACTGAGCTCTGTCTGAGTAGTTATATCTGCGAATGCAGAGGGAGCCATGGCTGTGGAGACATTAGACTTGGTTGGTAGTTGGCTCTCCAGATGCTCAAGGTTTCTTTGCAAACTTTGCACCAAGTAAGACAAGGCAGAGATTGATTGACAGATGTCCCCCATTGCAGAGGCCTCCCTTCCAGACTCCATCATTGGCTGACTGGTACTGTCACATACATGATAGGAGACTGAAATGACGAGGTCGGCCTCACTTGTGTCACTAGCCCTGACCCCACTGGAGGTGGAACAGAGGGTGTCTAGGGACCAGGGGGACAAGAGCACCGGTAGATGTTGTTTGCAGCTCTTGCAGATGATGACCTTGAAATACTGATAAACCTCTGATTCAGGCACAGTAGTAATATGCAGAGCTGGTATGGTAGATCGCCAGGTGTGCACCAGAGCAAGGCAGGAAGCGAGGGTGAGAGACAGGAGCAGTGTCATAGAAATAGCCAGGGTCATTAACAGGCGGACAGCAAGGTACAAAATCAGAAGCAAAGCCGAAGTCAGGAGCAGAGCCGAAGTCAGGAACCAGTATCAAGCAGGAGAGAAATCAGAGTCAGGTCAGGAACAAGCCGGGTCAGCAACAAGGGAATCTCACAGGAACAAGCAGGACATGGGAGGAGCTGAAGACCAGTCAGCACTCAACATGGGCAGAGACACCCTTTAAATAGTCCGTCTGGCGCCAATCTTCGGCATGCGCGTGCGTGCGTACTTGTGCGCGATTGCGCATTTCCGTGCGCACGCACACAATCGATCACTCTTCTCCGGACGTTTCTATGCGTATGCGCATTTCTATTTGCAATTCGTCTCACCAGAAATCCCTTACAGGTATTCAACATCTACCAGAGGATCCCAATGGCCCCTAATGACAGACTCATGTAAATGCTCCACATGCATTAGCGTAGTAAGGTAAGTCAGGTTTTCTCAACCAGGGTTCTATGGAAGCCTAGGGTTCTTCAAGAGGTTGCTAGAGGTTCCATGAGCAATGATCAATTTCTGCCTCACCGATATCTTCCCACTCACACCAGTGATCTTTTTAGCTATCTGTAAGGGAGTAAATTTTTCTCATGTCCAGAAGTATAATGAGCATTCTTCCCACTGACTATCACACTAATGTATCATGAGTTGTATATATATAGTAAATTTTAGCAAGGGTTCCCTGAGACCAGAACGTTATTTCAAGGGTTCCTTTGTGTTGAAAAGGTTGAGGTAAGTGATGCACTAGTCCTGAAAAAGTTCTAGTATATTGCTGCAGAATTATATTCCACTTCAGAAAGAATACCAACAGAATTTTTACAATTCTTAGGAACATCCAATATAATACGAGAATTGTCTATTTTTGTCATTACTTTTATGATACCTGCTGGATATTCTCTGCTATAAAATAAATGAAAAAAACTATAGGGAGTGTAAGGCCTTGTTTATCAGGTGTATAAGTCTCACTGCTGAAATTGACAGAGACATATAGCAAGCCAGTGGGTAACTCAGCTTTGACGATAAATCAAAACTGAAACAACTGTTTAGGATGACATGAGGTTTGTCAAAAGAAAATACAATAAACCCCTCAATGGAAATAGTGTGATGTACAGCAATTACTACTTAAAACATTATCTCCATTTACATATAAATACAAAAAAATGTAGTTACTTGCTAAGTTGGGGATACAGTATGTGAGGATAGATACAATGGGGTTTTTTTTACTAAAGCTAGAGAGTGCAAAATCAGGCTCACTTCTGCATAAAAAGCAAGTGGCTTCTAATCTCAGCTTGTTCAATTAAGCGTTAGTAATGAAACCTGGAAGCTGATTGGTTTTTATGCAGAAGTGAGCCTGATTTTGCACTCTCCAGTTTTAGTAAATAAACCCACTAAGTATAATTTTGTACTCACAGTACAGTATATTGTCAATAGCATACTGAAATGCTTTGGTAATTACACAGATATACCATTATATAGAGAGCGGTTTATCCATCTTGTATAAAGCTTTTAGAAGTATTTTACTTTCTATATGACAAGTACAGCCCTGGACAAAAGTTTTGAGAATGCCACAAATATTAATATTCACAAAGTCTGCTGCCTCACTTTTTATGAGGCGAAGACTTTTGGAAGATGACTTGGTTTCTAGAAGGGCAGCAAAGAAGCCACTTCTCTCCAGGAAAAACACTAGGAATAGGCTGATATTGTGCAAAATGTGCAGGGATTGGACTGCTGAGGACTGGGGTAAAGTAATTTTCTCTGATGAATCCCCTTTTCAAATGTTTGGGGCATCCAGAAAATACCTTGTCCGGAGAAGAAAAAAAGAAAACTACCATCAGTCCTGTGTCATGCCAACAGTATAGCATCCTGAGACCATTCATGTGTGGGGTTGCTTCTCAGCCAAAGGAGTGGGCTCACTCACAGCCATGAATAAATAATGGTACAAAAACACCCTCCAAGAGCAATTTCTCGCAACCATCCAAGAACAGTTTGGTGACGAACAATGCCTTTTCCAGCATGATGGAGGATCTTGGCATAAGGCAAAAGTGCTAGCTAAGTGGCTTGGGGAACAAAGCATATAAATTTTGGGTCCATGGCCAGGAAACTCCCCAGACCTTAATCCCATTGAGAACCTGTGGTCTATCCTCAACAGGCTGCTGAACAAAAAAATCTCCACAAATTCTGACAAACTCCAAGTATTGATTATGCAAGAATGGGTTGCCATCAGTCAGGATGTGGCCCAGAAGTTGATTGACAGCATGCCAGGGCGAATTGCAGAAGTCTTGAAAAAGAAGGGTCAACACTGCAAATGTTGACTCTTTGCATAAACTTAATGTAATTGTCAATAAAAGCCTTTGACACTGATGACATGCTTGTAATTATACTTCCGTATACCATAGTAACTTCTGACAAAAAAAAAAAAAAAACACTGAAGCAGCAGACTTTGTGAAAATTAATATTTGTGGCATTCTCAAAACTTTTGGCCAGGGCTGTACAAGTTATATGCAGTGGGGATGATTTACTAAAACTGGTGAGTGCAACATCTGGTGCAGCTCTGCATAGAAACCAATCTGCTTCCAGGTTTTTTGTCAAAGGTTCATTAAATAAGCTGAAGTTAGAAGCTGATTGGCTACCATGCACAACTGCACCAAATTTTACACTCTCCAGTTTTAGTAAATCAACCCCAATAGCTTCTATTGCAGGATGGAGCAAGCCAATATGCATAATTGGCCCTGCATATTACTATACTGTGTATTATGAGTTATTTTTACATGTTCTAATAAAATGTATCAGCAGATTTTGTCTGTACTGTACTCATTGTGGATACAAATATTTTAGTTGTAGGCATAGCCATCCACTGGTTTTATATATGTCTAGGACTCTTCATCAGCAAGATCTCCCTGCTATACTTTCTGGCTCTGTTTCTATCTACCTGGGAGTTTTGTGTGTTTCCGTCCCCATCTTTGGTATTCCAGCAACTTCTGTTACATTTTACTTAATATAAAATCAATATAAAATCAATGCAGAAGAGTCAGTCCCCCCTGATAATGACTACAGTAGATCCAGAAACATAGAGGTCTTCTCAATATAGCCTCTGAGGGATATAACAAACTGTTAGGTTGTTTAACGCTCCAAAAGTTACAAAGAACTGAAATTAAACTTTTAGGTGGATTGGCCCTTTTATAACAAATTCTTGCTCCAACTTAAAAATGCCATAGCAAACTTTGTGACTGACATAAGAACAAAAAGATGGCAAGTAGCATTGTCTGCTGCTATGACAAAATTATGGTAATAACTCTCAAAGTAACAGTCAACCGATGTTTTCCAACTCAAACACACAAGGTCCACCAATATTGGTTACCTAATGGTACCCTAGCAGCACTGGCATCAGGATTGATCCAAAAAGAAAGCCAGGACAGGACAACAATCAGCAGAGTTGGAGCATAGACGCCCATCATATAGAAGCCCACCTGTCTTCTCAGTGTAAAGATGACCTCAACACATGTGTAGTAACCTTTAATGAAGAGAAGAGAAGAATACATGTAACAAAATGGCTTTCTCACAAATAATCTGCTATAAGGGCCAGTTCCCACCACTATTTCTGTATTTTAGATGTGTTTCTGCATGTGCATTTTTAATGCATTTTTTATGCATTCAGGTGCCTTTTTGATGCATTCTGGTGCATTTTCCCCACTTTTTTTCCTCAACTGAGGACATGTGTACTACGGGGTGTTTTTGATGCATTTTGTCACATTCCAGATGTGTTCCATACAGAAAAATGCAACATGTGCTATTTTTGTTGACTGCATTGGAACACATTGCACTGGTGTTAACAAGGGCCATTGGAATGCACGTTAAACACCATGCATACATTTTTGATGCAGAATAAAAATGCACTGGACTTCATCTGGTGTGAAGCAGCCCTAAAAAAAACTCATGTATAAATAAATTCAACATTGTCCTTGTGTCTTCTCTGTACTCGGTTCAATTACATTCATGCTTTATACAACAATCAAGGAGAAAGAGTGCCTTGGTTAGGTTCAGATGAATTTTCCACTTTTATCCAAAAAGAAAAATATTTGGCAAACAATAAAATATAATATGACAATACATATATACGTCCTGTTGTACCTGCCAAAATACTTGTGATTCTGTCAACTCATTTGGATGGAGTTTCATGCATTTTTAGAGAAATAATTACAATCACATTGTCTTTTTTGTGTTACATTTCCTTACATGTGTATTGCAAGATCCCCATTTAAGAAAAAAAATCTGGCTGTTGGTCATGTGCTACTGTTAGGTAAAATGGATTACCTTTGCGTTAGACTTTGTTACCAATAATTTCTATGAGCTCAAAAGCAATATGCAAAGATGCATGTACCCCAACACACAGCACTGTAGCTTGAAGAAGTTTTTCCTTCCTCTCTCTCTCTCTCTCTCTCTCTCTATATATATATATATATATTCCACTATATTATTTCTGGATTGGGGTGGGAACTACATTTGAGAAGCATGGAGGTTAAATGGATAGCTGAGTTGGACACTATGCAACCCAAAGGCTTAAATACTGATTTGGATTTTTTTTTTTGTGAATTTTATTTTTTATGTCCTTTTGTGGATGGAGAATAAAAGTACAGGCACCAAGATAAAACGTTTTCAATATAGTGTAATTATTATACAAATGTTATGTGTTTGTTTCATCCATGTTGTTCTATGAGAGCAATTCTTTAATACAAAAGGATGTGTGCACTGGTGTTACTTATTAGTGGTTGTAATTACCATTTAAGATTGAAATTGTTAGTTTCAGTAGCTTTCACTTTACTTGAGGAAGGACCATGAGCAGTTCAAAACTGTTGTACATATTGCATGGATTTATCACATGTGGAGTTTTTGGATTTTATAATAAATTTAATGTATCAATTGAGGTGCTGCAGAACTGCTATTGTGGACTATTGAGCTACTGATCTGTGTTTACAGCAGACGTTTTTGTTTTTCAACAGTCTGTAAAGACATAATATCACAAACAATGATTTAATATAAATTAAAAAATAATAAATACAATCAGAATTTTTAGTTATGACCATAATAAAGAAAATATGTACAAAACCACTAAACACGCCCTTCAAACTTTTAATTCGGGGTGAGTTGTTCTGATAACTGTGATATATCTTGGTACTTGCTTTATTTTTTACATCAGCCTTTCTAAGTGAAGCAACATCATCCGCAGTTGGATTGCAAATGCATCAGAATACAGACAAAAGTAACCCAACCCCTGTGTGGCATTACTGCTAAAGACTGAACTGAAGGATCCAGCAATGAACCTACAGAGTATATAGACATGCTGAACACAGGTGATTGCAAGTGAACAGCAAGCAGGTGCACCGCCAGGAAGCTTCAGTTTAATCTATGAAAACTGTCAGTGCAGCTCCATGAAAAAGAATGCAGATGGGGCTAAAGAGTTCCTGTGTGCTCAAGCTGTACAGTTATTTTTTTATTTTGCTTTTATTTATATGTATATTCTTTAATTTGCAACTGTTTTGTAAAACTGTGTGCACAGCTTTATTATTAAAAAAAACAGCAGTTAGATACCTGGCGGACTGCGGCCCATGCCCTATCGAAGATTTCGATTAACACTGATCTTGTTGAATCTAACTACAAAACGCTACTTCGATGGTATTTGGTTCCTGCTCGCCTAGCCATAATGTATCCTTCCATTTCATCTAGCTGTTTCCGACGCTGTGGTCAAGAGGGTACCATGTTCCACGTCTGGTGGAAATGTCCAGTTGTGAGTAGGTTCTGGATCTGCATATTTAATTTTCTTTACTCAGTGACAGGAATTAATATCCGTAGATCGCCGGAAGTGGCCTTGTTTAATATACTACCCTCTGATGTTCCCAAAAAAATCGATTAAATTAATTTTATATATAATATTGGCGGCTCGCATTACCATAGCTGAAGTTGGAAACAATCCTTGATCCCGCTGGATAGAGTGAAACAAAAACTCAACTGGATAATGGTTAATGATAAACTGACGAGTATTGTCACTGATGATCTGTCCAGATTTGAGAGGACTTGGGAGCCTTGGAATAATTATATTACTGTATCGTGAGTGTCTGGCAGCTGACCCCCCCCCCCTCTTATTTTCTTTCTTTCACTTGGGAGTAATTTCCTTCTTCGTCTCTCTCTTCCTCTCTTTTTCTACTTTATTCGTTGAACTTTTTTTTTTTTCTCTGTCACTTCTGGTTCATTTTGGTTTAATTTCTGTCTATTGATTTATGAAACCTGTACGTCCTGATGACTATGACACTTTTTGTGTGAATTGTAATGCTATTGTCTGATAATCTTTTTACGTACTTATAAGTGTTATGATTCTGATTCTACATCTTGTTCCACCATGTGGGTGGGCCTTTTTGTTTGTTTGCCATCTTGTTTTATGCTTTAATATGCTTGTTTCTCAATAAAAATATTGAAATATAAAGAAAAACAGCAGTGTATTTCATATATAACTTTGAGAAAAAAAAAAACTAATTTAAAAAAATATATTTTCTCTGTTATTTTGATCTGTGGCTTGATACTGAAAGTCCTCAGAAAGATACGTTGCTCAAAGGGGTAATTCATCAGCTTCCTATGTATTTGCTGCATTTACCAGAAGGAAGGCTTGTTTAGAAGAAACATTGCTCCATGTCAAGTACTTTAAAACTCTAAGCAACATGAAAAACATTACAGTTTTTAAAGCAGCACACTCCCACGACACGAAAATCAATAGATCTTAACTATACCCTGACCTTTTCAAGCTGCAGGAGAACCTGGCCCATGCTGGCAAAGATCAATGCTTAGGTTTCCAGTGCTCTTTCTCTGGTGTTTTCCCCATAACATTCTTTACATGGACTTCTAATACTTCTTACAGACTCGTACACTTTCTTCCTAAAATCCACTAGAAAACCTCAGTGGAGGTGACTCTAGATTTATTGGTACTTTGAAGTGCACAATTACAGTATATAACAACTTCCCAGATGCTGCCCTGAAATGCTTCCTTTCGCTTGTATTTAGTATACTGAAAATATGTCTGATTAAGATCTGGCTAATGTTACCTGGAGACCAATAAATCTGGAAGTGGCTGGGGGAACCCATTACTGAGAATATTTTATTAGGGGAATATTTAATAACAGCAATTTATAGACATTTGAACAGAAGGGAACCTTGATAGTATCTACATCAAAGTGATCATCTGTAAATTTCCTAATCTCTATTACCACGTAAAGAGGAGAAAAAAAAAAAAAAGGGAAACCGGCAAACTTAAAGGATATTTTTAGAACAAAATGTCTTGCCAAAATCCTTAGGGGTCGCTTCACACCAGATGGCAGCTATTTCCTGCACAGTCCAATGCACAAACAACAAAATGTCTTGTCTCCAATGTTGTCAGTGCACCATTTGAAAAAAAAAAGTACTGCATGCATTATTCTTCTAGCGCAGCAGGTTACAACATGACCCACACCATGGCAGCACTAATGAGGTGCATGGAACTGCATAAAAATATCACTTGCCAATGTATAGAAATGTTAAAAAAAGGTAAACAGTGCGGTGCACCAGGATTGGCACATCGGCACTGTCACACAGTGCACATGAGAGGCCACGTGTTTAGCACAGCTCACTGATGTGAACGGACCGTTAAGGAAATTAGTGCTGGAGAATTGCAGTCATGTTAGTTCTGGCCAACTCTTGAAAATGATAGTTGTCTGGTTGCTTGTTTAGTCACATGCTTTAGAGACATTATCACCTTGTCCATTTAGGGCATGGTCACCATGTCTGTGAAAAGCTCTCTTCCCCCTTTCCTGACTACTTAAAACTGACCTTTCCAGCACCCCTCTACTTCAGCTTCTTTTCTGGCTGCACTGTCGAATAGCCAGTTATTTTGTACATGGGAGAGCATGCAACTTCCTCCCATGTTGCAATGCTCAGGCCTAGCAAACAATCACTGGATGCGAGCACTGTCACATGATGGAGGGTGACGTAAGTGCTCCCTCTGACTGGGAATAACAGCTAACACTGTTTTTTTTTGGTGGCAACTGCAACTGAGGAAAGGACTGTAGTGGATCCCTGAGGAGGTAAGAATAAATTGGTCAAGGGACAGGCTTTACACCAACACTGTTACTTTACCTTCAGTAGGCAAGCTGACAATTTTACTTTAAAGTGGAGCTTTAGTCAAAAAATTAGGTCCTGCTAGATCCCTTTAGGTTGGCCCATTTTGCAGGGATAGCTATGAAAAACATTAAAAGTAAATGCCTACACTGTTTAAAATCTAGCAATACACTGTTTCACCCTGCTTTGCACATGCTCAGTTGCTCTCTACTGTTGGCACTGTACCTAAAATCAGATCCACTACTGTAGAGGCTGACTGGCTGGAAGCTTTAAGATTTACTGTTGTTGAAGAGGGAAGAAAACAGGAATGACACAGACTATGCTGAAGAAACACAGATTAGGGAGGGAAAAAAGAAAAGCAGAGAGGTGACAGGACAAACTCTGCTGCCAGGTAGACACAAAAGAGTTAAACAAGGAAAATGTTTTATCTTATATCCCGTTCTCCCTCATCAGCAGATCTGTGAACTTTAGCACTTTATAGCTTCTGTCAGCCTTGCTCTCTAACTGAGCCAAGACATACAAACAAAGCTGGAAATGGACATATTTTAATTGAAGAAAGTGACATATAATTTTTGAGACTAAGGAGAGGGGGAGAGTTTCCAAAAAGTGACTGCTCTGGGCTTCAGCAAAATGGCAGCCTCCAGCAAGAAGAAACAGAAGCAATGCTGGAGGCAATTTACAGCACACACTAATTTTGGTAGCATAATTATCCATGTGAAATGCATGTTCTTTTTTTAAAGAACATTGATTGTTATCAAACTGTTATAGGTAAAGTTCCTCTTCAAGTATCTGATCTGGAACAAGCATATAATAAGTGAAGTCAAAACACTTAATCTGCATAATTATTACAGGGCAGTGACTTGGGGAACGGTGGATTCTCTACAATCCCAAAAAATTTTAATAATCAGGTGCCACTATAGTCAATTTCATAGTGGGAACAGAAAAGTTATGGAAGCAAATGCATCCCTAGCATCTCCACCAAATCTTGGTGCTGTGAATCTTTTCCAATATGCACAGCTCCATCTAATGGCTACAAGTGATAAACACACTCCATATATATTAGATGGGATACAGGGTTTATTTCATACTTTTTTCAGGACTCAGACCTGCTTATCACGAGAGAGAGAGAAAGGGAGAGAGAGAGAAGTAACAACATGTATTAACTTCTTGTGAGAGGGTGGCTACTTCTGTTCTACATGGTACCATTGTATGTAGTAACATAACCACCCTCTCTTGCTTGGAACTGAGATGGACTACGGACTATGGACTAAAGTGTTTGTAGTGTGCATAGAGCAGTGCACATGACCACAACTAATGTGCAATGCTCATTGCAAATAAACAGAAGTGAGGAGGAAAAGGAGAGGTTCAAAAGCCATGAAGGACATTACTGGGAGGCAGAAAAAACACAGTAGGTAGAATCTAACAAAGTATAGTTTACAGAGCTATTAGGTATTGGAGGTTAATGGATTATTTTTGGAGAATAAGGATATTGTTTAATGTCAATTTAAGTCAGTTGTTTCAGGGGCTATAAGGGCAGATTACAAAAACTGCATTCATTGGGCAGACGGTGATCTATGGGCAGGTTATTTGTATTTATTTTAGGTTTCTGTAAAAGCAAACATTTGTATATGATACATACTACTTACCAGTGCCTTTGTAATACTTTGTACAGTTCCCATATTCAATGTCTTCTGTCTTTATATCAAACTGAGGCAATGCAATTTTTTCCATTTGAACAGGGTCTCCTGACTGCCAAATGAACCGCAAGTCATCCGTTGTATATCCAACTTTGTGACAAACAAAAATATATTTCAGTGATCTCCACATATTCCTATCAAATCAATTAGGCTTTCACAAACCCATAATTATTTGTTCTCCAAGCACACAGCGAAGATCAGGGCAGAGACATTACAGCTTTGAATTTGTTAAAGTTATTAAAGCAACAGAATCTACATATCTGCAGAACAAAGCAGTAATAATGAGATTATTGATTTCTCCAATTTAGTACAATGTAACTATTTTTGCCTGGCCTATTAAGCACTGAGACATCAACTGACAGTTTTAATAATCTCATGTTATTAATGACAGAGAACATAATTGCGCATGTGTTTTTTTTTTAATAAATGTTTCTTCATCTAGCAGGATTCATGATGAACGAGGGATACCACAGCTAAATCGATGTATGATATAGTGTTATGCCATACAGTTTATTCCTGCATATATCAGAAGGAAACATATTGCTATCTAAAGGATACCAGTACTCTGATAAAAAGCACTCATTTAAAAGATAAGTTCACCTTTCTACTAAAAAACAATAAATGCACATTTGTTTGCAGGTAAAAAAAATAGTTTTTATTATTTTTTGTTGCAGGAGCCTGTAAAGCATTCCACTAGCGATCAGCAGATTGCTGGTGCAATGCAGGTCTTCTGCAGACTTGTCAGATTTTCTGCTTGCTTGTACATCCCTCACGGGCAAGCCAATACTTCTGACAGGAAGACTCAATTAACTACTACAGTGCTCACAGCGCCGTAGTTAATTAATTCACAGAACACTAGCAATGAATGATGTGGCCGTGTGGGCAGAGCCCCACTCGGCCAGGCTGTTTTTAAAAAGTGACAGATAGTACAGGGGACTTCACCCCATACTTTTGTCCTGGGGGCGGTATCGGGCGGCCAGTGCAGGTTCGGGAACATGTTAAATGTTCCACCCTAAAAAACCAATGGAACATGTAACATAATCCCAAATGTGAATTTATCCTTTAGGCTCTTTCCTGCAGAATTAGCACTATATAAAGGGTCAGGGGCATCATCTTCTCAGAGACACTAGACCATTTGGAAACCCTCTATTTTCTGGGGAAGGAGCAATAGACAAAAAGACATTGAGCAGGATTGTGACCCGGAATAAGAGAACAACTGCTGCAAAAGTGACTGCAGAGCTCAATCTCAGTCCCGTGAAGACTCTTTGAAGCTCAATAAGCTCTGACATGACTCCGTATTACTAGCAGTGCATGCAGTAATTGACGAAAGTGTTGGTATAAAGAGATCCCTGAATTTTTCACTTCTTAATAAGTGGTTGAACAGTACTGACTAGCATATTCAATGTGTTAGATATCTTTTTTATATTTTTTTTTATCTTTATAAAGTTCCATTACCTTGTTACGCAGGTCTTTTGATCACTTTTCTGCTCCCCATGGCTCAGTATTTAGCCTGCTCAGTGCATCCACATGAGAGCTAACAAACTCATTGACTATTGATACAGACACTAATTGCAATTTAAAAAGCCACAGATGTGGGATATTAACCTATAATTGCCATTTTAACTTGTGTGTGTTACCTTGTGTGTTCGTACCAAGACCTAACATTCCAGGGTATGTAAACTGTTGATCATGGCCATTAGGGTGATTTCTGTTATCATTATGATTTAACCTCCCTAGCGGTATGATTATTTCAGATTTTTGGTGCTGAAAGCGGTACCATTATTTTGCATGGAAATATGTAGTTTTTTTATTGTAGGCTGTAATTTTTAGGAATAACTCACTGAAATCTGTCCGAACAAGAGTCTATTAAACATCCCGGGTATGATAAAATTTGAAACACGAAATCATAAATTATAATTTAATAAATAATCATAAAAAATAATAATATAATAATACATTTAATTCAATAATATAATCAAACCAAAAACACTGAAATTTGAAATAGAGCGCCAAGTTCGCACATCGCTGAGCAAAGTCGCAAAATCGTTTTCAGTTTCTGATGACAAATTTCCCCACAAATCATTATCACTCAATTCTGCAAGTGGTTCTGATTTACTATCGCTGTTCTCTAGTTCTCAAAATGCAGGCAGGGCACAGGACAAAGCACTAGGGACAAAATGTATGTGAAATGGGTTGAAACAGCAATGTTTTACTATGTAAAATTTGTTTGGAAAAAAATGAAATTTTTTACATTTTTCAAATTTCCCGCCGCCACCGCCCGTACGTTCGTACGTCCCGACGTCACAGGGACCGGAACACAGAAGCCGGATGCCGGCATCAGCCGGAGGAGATGGCCGGGGACGCTGCAGGGGACACATCGTGGGAGCGAAGGACAAGGTAAGCTCTGCATGGACTCCCTATGCAGCGCCGCATGGTAAGACCGAGTGTAGCTCGGGGTTACCGCTTTTGGTACAGACATTTTACCCCGAGCTACACCAGGGAGGTTAAAAAGGAGCCTAACAACTATGTGATAATAAATTACTTCATACGATAACTATCCTTAAAAAAAAAAAAGACAGTTTTTTAGCATGATCAGTCATATTTTCAATATCAAAAGACACAATTTCACGATTTTTGCCAAGGTATGCAAACTTTAGAGCAAAACTGTATATGTACATTACCTGCGGGATACCCGTGGAAAATGTAAATCACTGTAGTAGGCTCCTTTAATACTGTGATTGCCACTGGCTTCTGGGTCCCATGCCGAGCAGCTGCCCTAATGCTTAATGAAGACAAGAGGTCACCCACTCGGCATGGCGCCATTCAGAGAACAATTTGTATTTTCGCAATAAACTTCAAAGTGATTGGATATGGTGGAAATCTTGACATCACCGGCTTTCCACCTCGTCCAAAAAAGAACATGCTTTGCATTTATTTAGAAAATGAAAAGTGTTCCCTGAATGGTGTCTGTGCCTACCCAGCGACCTGTGTTCACAATACAGCAACTCGGCATGGGACTCAGAGGCTAATGGAGATCACTGTAGTAACATTGTCTACTACAGTGATTCCCAATGTCTAGAGGGATCCCACAGGTATGGCACATACAGTTTGTGTCCAAAATTATTCAAACCCCCCAATGCTGTAAAGGGGTTTAGGGACTATAGTGTACATTTGGAATTGTATTCAGAATCAAATCCTACAAGGATCAGACGTTGTAACTACCCAAATGCAAAAAAATGACATCAATTGTTTATGTAATACAGTAGTAAATGGTTCTTATGTGGTTTCTTCATTGCCACAATTATTCAACCCCTTAAAGACTACCACTCTGAAGAACAGAGGTTCATACAGGTGCTTTCCATCAGGTATTGAAAACACCTGTGGATGTCACCGAGCACAGCAATCAAGCATAATAAGCACCAATTAGGCAGCTTTAAAATGACTGTGATACTCAGCTCCTTCTAGACATTTACTGGTGTGGTTACAAACATGGTGAAGGCAAGAAATGGTCCAGGAAGACAAGAGAAGAGGTGATTTCATTCACATTCACAGGAAGGGCAATTTGGCTATAAGAAGATTGCAAAGATGTTAAACATACCAAGAGACACCTTAGGAAGCATCATTCGCAAATTCAAGGCAAAGGGCACTGTTGAAACGCTACCTGGTCGTGGCAGAAAGAAGATGCTGACTTCGACTGCTGTGCGCTTTGAAGCGTAGAGTGGAGAAAAGTCCCCGTGTGACTGCTGAGGAACTGAGAAAAGATTTGTCAGATGTGGGTACAGAAGTTTCAGCCCAGACAATAAGACGCACACTGCGTAATGAAGGCTGTTCCGTGCCAGAACTCCCAGGCGTACCCCCTTGCTGTCTCCAAAGAATAAGAAGAGTCGACTGCATGTGCTTAAGTATGCCAAAAGCCATGTGGACAAACCACAAAAGTTGTGGGATAGTGTTCTGTGGACTGATGAAACTTTATTGTTAAACATTAGAATACAGTCATTAGATTTGGGCCCATGGATCAACGCTATGAGGGAGAGGAAGAACAAGGCCTATGATGAAAAGAACACCTTGCCTACTGTGAAGCATGGTGGAGGGTCAATCATGCTTTGGGGCTGTTTTGCTTCTGCAGGTACAGGGAAGCTTCAGCGCGTGTGCAAGGTACCATGAATTCTCTTCAGTACCAGGAGATATTGGATGGAAACGTGATGCAGTCCGTCACACACCTGAGGCTTGGGAGACGTTGGACCTTTCAAAAGGACAATGATCCCAAGCATACCTCCAAGTCCACTAGAGCATGGTTGCAGAGGAAAGGCTGGAACATTTTGGAGTGGCCATCGCAGTCACCAGACTTAAATCCGATTGAGAACCTCTGGTGGGACTTAAAGAAAGCAGTTGCAGTGCGCAAGCCTAAGAATGTGACTGAACTGGAGGCCTTTGCCCATGAAGAATGGGCGAAGATACCCGTAGTAGATCGCTGCAAGACACTTGTGTCAAGCTATGCTTCACGTTTAAAAGCTGTTATAACTGTAAAAGGATGCTGTACTAAGTACTAAGATTGAATGTCACTTGGGGGTTGAATAAAACTGATAATGCTGTGAGCACAGAAAAGACATTTGTGGTTATTTCATTATAACTGTTATGTTATATTTGTCTGACCTACAAGTGCCCTCTTTAATGTAAATGTAAGCAAGATGACTGAATGATCAAAAGCAATGTCAAACTGGCCAAAACACTCAATTTCAGTGGGGGTTGAATAAATTTTGGCCACAACTGTACATACTTACATAGATCCAAACTACCTTAACTTCAGCTTTAAAAGATGCCTGTGAAGCACTTTATTTAATTATTTCATTTACTTTATTTTATTAATTTAGCACTTTAATGGGCCTGCTCTGCTGTTTTAATCAGTTTTACCGGTGTACAATAACAATATGCAAAAACCTATGCTGAGCAGTAATAGTCTATTTGCTCTAAGTTCCTGAGAGACTGGTTCTGATTGGTTGCTATAGATTACTATACATTACTGTCCCTTGCGTGCCAGATAAACAAAACTACAGAAGATATTCACTATAAAATGGATATAAAAATCCTTATTTTATTGACCAGGTTGTGAATTTTTTCAAGAATAGTCAGAACATATGGCTGCAGTGACATCCCATATGGCACTTGCCTGACAAATTATTTACAAAGTATACTAAATCATGGAAAATAAGCAGTGTTAACATTCTTATGTACAAACTGCATGTGCAACTCTTAAATTGCTGAAATTGTTTTACAAAAATACACATTTAAAAAATTTAATAAAATTAATTACATATCGCATTCTTAATTGAATATTTGCTGAATACTACTAAATATAACAAGACATCTGATTACTACTACAAAAAGTGAGCCAGCTTGCTTTTTAACTGACATGAACACAAGAAAAAAAAAGATAGAAGTTGCACTTAACAGGCTAGCAATGTAATTTAGTTCACATTCACGTTGATCTGCCTTTTGGGGGTAAAAATTAAAAAAAAACTACTTACAACTTTCCAGCTGCATCTTGCAACGCTGAGTATCCATTGGAAACAAGGTTAGATCCAGAGGACAGGATAAAGTTATGGACAACCTAAATAAGATACATTACACAGTTGTGCTGTTTAAAGAATTAAAAAAAATATGCATCTTGCCTTTTATATTAACATAAAAAGCCTGTGGCATGTGCTTAAGGTGAATAAGAAGTCAATACGGTTTTCCAAAATTAATGAATTCCAAATTAATGAATTCCCTCTACTTCCACTCTCTCTTTTTTTTTTTCTCTGCTTAGATCCATTGATTTAGATTTTTTTTTCTTTATTGTTATATACATTAGTTCTTTATACAGTCATCCAGATCCTATGTGCCTAATCAAAAACCATAGAGGGTCCCATGCAGTGTAAAAACACTCCAGATACACTTCATAGTTGAACACTTTAGCCTCCAAAACGTTTTGATAGAATTTACTGGGCATATCTGACTCTGTTATGGTGTCAATGATTTTGGCTTATTTGCAAAATTCAGTTGCTTGTATTGTTCTCATAAGAGTATTTCAATTACATCCTTCTGTATGACCTTTTAGTTGAAAATAAAGAGTTAAAAAAATACAAATGTTAATATGCATTGACTCTTTTTGTCTATAATACTATGAGGAGCATACAAGGTTTGTTTAGTAGACGCAAAATGTAAGTGGGGGTTATTTACTAAAACTGCAAATATGGTGCAACTCTGCATAGAAACCAATCAACTTCCATTTTTTTTGTCAAAGCTGAATTGAACAAGCTGAAGTTAAACACTGATTAGCTACCATGCACAGCTGCACCATATTTTGAGTTCACCAGTTTTAGTAAATTACCCCCAGTGAGTATTGTGAGCCATGTTGCCTTTATGGTAGACATGTGTATTGACCACAGCTGGAAGAGTAATTGTAGATGAGGTTGCAAAAAAGCATGCATGATCTACTAATACTAATAAAAGAGGCTTCTAAACAATGCAGTGCTTGTGCAGTTTAATATATCACCCAATATAAAATGTATGATAAATATACATTCGAATATCCAACATGTACATGACTATAAGCAGGGTAGTGAAAGGCAGTATCGTCTTCTGTTGCATCATGCCATTGCTGAACGAGCTTAAACTCTCCAGTCCTTTTCAGCCAAGGAGGCTACCATCTTAGCCTCTGTTTGATATGCATTTGCCTTTATGCTGTACATGTAATCAGTTATGTCACCAACCATTTAATGGTTGGTTGGTTTGGTTGAGAGCACTAGCAAATATGACAGTTAGGTGTCACAGAATGCCTTGAATGTAACTGCTTTGGGAAACTGTTAAATCCATGATTTTAGTTCCATTTTAATGACTTGTCCAGCACGGGGCAGCATAAGGCAGTATGAAGACAAAAGAGTTGATGCTATAGTCAACATCCAACTGTCATTTGTGCAGTCCATGATTTTGAAAATGAAACAATAATTCTTAGTTGCTATAGGTTGCAAGATATTTGTACTTTTAAGGCAGTTTGCATACATCGATGTCTTTGTATGCTCCTCCTCCTTGCTACTTTGGAAACAGTTAAAGGAATCACAGGGACATTTTGTTTTTCTGTATTTCAATACAAATAAGCTTTCAAAAACACAAAGGATTTAAAGTGACCCTATAGTTATAATAAAAAATGGCATATATGGCAGTGTGTCAGTAGCATTAACATACGACTCTTTGTTTTTCCGAGTCCCCCCTGTAGTATAGTTTATTACTTGATGGTTTCGCCAGTAAGTTTGTTTTTCAACTTCCTTTAACAGATCAAGCTGATGGTCCCAATCACCTGATCACTTTGATAGCCTATGACTGGCTATCATAGTAGTCAGTTACTGTACAGCCCACCACTCTATTTTTCTCCTCTTGAATGGAGAAAAAAGATATATTTTATATTGCTCTCCTTGCTAGAGGTGTAAACAAAAAGGTATGTGTAAAATATTTAAAAATAAAGACAAAATAGCTAGATTAAGTTTTGATCTAGGTCAGGATTAGGGTCAAGAGTCAAATCCAGAGACAAAGGTCAGGGTCAGTGTATTGTAGGTAGGATAAAAAAGTACTATTGTTTCTGGCCCATACTACAGGTACCAATAATAAAGTATGCGATTCCTGTCCAAAATTGCATGCGGTTTCCCCACTGCTCCTGTGTGAACCCAGGTTTGTCATAGCCTGAGTTTACACAGGAGTGGTGTGGGGAACCTCCATGCAGGCATTCCATGCTTAGTGTCAGTGGTAGGAGAGGGGCATCCTTGCAGTGATGACAGTTTGGGCTGGACGGCATCTGATTGGTCAGCAGCTGTGTGAACTTGGGCTATGACAAGCCTGGGTTCACACAGGAGCAGTGGGGAAAACCGCATACGATTCAGACAGAATTCACATTCCTGTTTAAATCGCATGCTATTCTTTGCAGTGCAATTTGCATCTATTAACGCAAATTGCACTGCAAAGTATCGGTACTCAGTATCGGTGAGTACTTGACCTATAGTAACGGTACTCATACTCGCCGATAAAAGAACGATATCAGTGCATCCCTACTACAATATATTACATTTTTGTTTTTGGGTTTAGTCACACGTTCAGGATGGGAGTTGTCTACATTTAGAAACTACAAACTACTCTTCACTAGGATCAAGAACAATCATAGAGCAAGTAGTACAGAAAGTTTTAAAGCTGAAACAGGAAACAAAAAAGAAGTCTTAAAGTGTTAAAAGTGACTAAAGTCATATTTTCAAATTAAAATAACAAACATGTTATACTCACCTGTTCTGTGCAGTGGTATTGCACAGTGTGGCCCTGATCCTCCTCTTCTCGGGTCCCCCGACGGCGATCTTGTCCCTGCCTCTTCTTTGTGTGTCCCCATAGCAAGCCATTTGCTCTGGGGGCACACGGTGTCCGCTCACTCCATAGATACACACAGCAGGACTTAGCTCTGCCCCTTCTCCCCCCTTCCTCATCACTGCCTTTGATTGACAGTAGCAGGAGCCAATGGTCAAGTCCCTGTGTAAAGGAGAAGAGATGCAGCCGTGCACAGCACTGGATCTGTTCTCCTCTCTCTTCCCCTTCACACAGGAAAGAGGGGGGGGGGGCAGAGGAATAGAAAACATTTTTTACCTTAGTGCAAAGAATACATTAAGGTAAACAACATTTCTAGCTTTAGTATCACTTTAACAAATAGAACAGTTTACATATATGTACTGTACTTTAACCATGTGTTTAGCTACCTACCTGCATTTCACAATTAAAAGAATAACAAAGCTGCTATCAGATATTAATTGCTGATTTCAGGAATAAATTGCAAGCACCTAGAGGTTCATACATAAATATGCAATAGTTCTTTGTCCCATGTTGCTAGGTGTTGCTCGGCAAATCTGATGACAGCTATGAAGGAGACAGACTTATCATAATGTCACCTCGTCTCGGTTCAGAGCACTTTCCCAAGGGCAAGGGGGGCAGGTCTGACCTTATAACTAAACTTAAGCTGACCACACATGGATCAAAATTCAGTTGGTTCAGCAGGGACTGCCCAAATTTCAATCCATGTATGGGCTAGCTGTTCACAAGTTGATTATGGATTGGCTTGTGTACAACCAGCCTGTCGGGTTTTTTTGTGAACGATCAGTGCTGCTGGCTATAGCCAGAAAAACTGATTTCTGTATTCTGCCAGCAGGGAAGGTTCCCCACTGGCAGAATACAATAGCTCAGCAGTTGAATTGGTTGAATGAGTTGAATGAAATAAAATGAATCATGTATAGCCTGCCTTAGGAAGCACCTAGCAACATGGAAAAAATACTATGAGTACCTTGTCCCAGGAGGGACAGAACAGTGTAAAATTGTAATGATAGTTACCTGTAATAGGGAAATATATGAGGACATGGATATGATACAGTGGATTGTAGTCTATTTTAGATCATTATCATGAGACAAGGTCTAATTCATGGAGCACAATGTTCTGGCTAATTTACATCAGGGGGCCTCTGGGAGCACCTTGGGAGAAATCCAAATATTTAGAACGTGAGCACCACAACAAGTGATAGAGTCCAGAAATCTAAATTTAGTAAGTAATTAGTCGAAAAGACAGATTTGCAGATGATGTTGCAGCCAAGTCCCCTGTCATCAGGGCTGTATGAACACAAAAAAAATTATTGCAACGTTTAGAAAATGAATAAAATAATATAATAATAGTTGGAGTTATTCTATTTTTGGGAGCAACTATTGTCCATCCAGATCACATCCTAAAGTGTAGTATCATTCTACATCTATTTGTGTTTCCAAACATTATGAGAGAAACATAGGGCTGCCATTACTAACTTTTGGAAATGCTAATTGCCTTTTATTCTGACCCCAGTTTTAACTGCCCCTGAAAAGACATGAATTTACCTGTACACTTGTTCTGGTCCATTCTGGTGATTTTTAGTACTGAAACAGGGGGTTCAGTATGACAGCCATGAAGAATGCATTTGCAGAAGAAACGATCAGAGACTAATTGTGAGAATAATGTATGGAGGTCTATGGGGGCTTACTGTGCAGGCACAGCCAGTGGAGAAGAAGATTCCAGCCAGAAAATATAAAGATTTGGGGCAGGCTACAGCTGTCCTACTCAGGTACGTAAGCAGCTGTGGGGTGTTAAAAAGAGTATCTTTACTTTTTTGTTTGGATAAAGTAAGGAAAGGTTAGACCCTTGTCAAGTTCATATTTAAGTATGTGTCCTCTATTTGTACTGGTGATCAATGTAATCGAGAATGAAAGTGAGTAGAAACCTAATTTTCAAAACTGTCTCCAGAACAAGAGCAAAAGGGAAAGTCTTCCAAAAGGGACACCTGTCCTAGAGACAAGTGAGGGAAATTGCATAGATAGCAAACAATAAAATGGCAGGAATGTTAACCCTAAATGATATGCAGGCAAGAGAGGGAGCCACCATATAAGTGTAAGCTGTTTATTAAAAACTAAATTAAAATGAAATATTGCACTCACTACATAATTAGTAAGGTCACACTAGATGGTGGCACTCTATTGCTTGCTTTTGGTATTGGCATTAGGTATACTTTTTTTTTTTAAAGGTGTTTATTTACATTTTAGATTATAACTCAAAGTATATACTGTAAACAGAGTGAAAAGAAATGACTATATACACAACATTCCATGGATGGAGCAGTAGAAAACATACAAAAAAAATACATTTTTTGGGCTGCGCAGAGCCCACAAATCGAGAGAAAATAATTAAAAATGATATTGAAACACAAAACATTCATACTGTACATCCACACATACCAACGCTGCCTTTCTCTATATAGGAACCAGGAGAGCCATCAGGCCTGTATCCACGGTACCCATATACCAAGGGTTATGGTAGAATGCCGAAACATATTAAATTTATTGAGACAACGGGATATCCTTCCAAAAAGTGTCCGATATGTCAAGCCAGGTCTGCCAGGCTTTTGTAAACTTCTTGGGATAGGCACTCTTATGGTTCAGTTTAATTAAGTAGATCTTTATTGACCAGGCAATAAAAGTGTTGGAACATGCAGCTGAATTTTTCCAATTCAAAAGAATTAATTTCCGAGCATAAAACAAAAGCATACAAATCAAAATATGAGCATGTGTCCTAGGTACATAGTCATTCAAGATGCCCAGAAATCCATCTTCTGAGGTATGGGGTACAGGCAAATGAAAGGTGGTATCAAAGAAAGAAAACAGATCCTGCCAATATGTAGACAAGATTGGGCAAACCCAAAACATATGTAAAAGATCTGAGACCCCTCCACTCAAGGCCACAATGAGGACAAGCGGACGCAGATCCTAATCCCATGCGGGCCAACTTAGCAGAAGTATAGGGCATTAAGTATACATAGGACTTGGTCCAGGGGGGCAGCAACTACTTTATGTTCAACAGTGACTGTTATTTGAACTCTAATTTTTTAACTAAGCCCTATCTCTTATCAAGCGGTCATCAGCGCCATAGTTTTAAACCATTGCAGAGATTTTAACCCTTCCCTACTCTAAAACTGAAAAAAGTTGTGATTATACATACACTTTATTTTAGATCAAGAGCACTATACTGGGTGGCCAAGTGTACTTTATCTAAAGTTCACTCTTTAAAGCGGACTTCCACCTAAAAGGGGAAGTTCCACTTTAAAGATTGGTGGGGGAGCAATCTTTAAAGCGGAACTTCCCCTTTTAGGTGGAAGTCCGCTTTAAAGAGTGAACTTTAGATAAAGTACACTTGGCCACCCAGTATAGTGCTCTTGATCTAAAATAAAGTGTACTGTATGTATAATCACAACTTTTTTCAGTTCAGAAGTGGGAGCTCCCCATTAAGGATTGACACCTTTGTGAAGCGGGGTGGGAGTGTGTACCCGAAATTGACAGTTACCCACTCCCACTTCTGCTGTGATTGCTTAGGAGATTGAAAGCAGAAGTTGTTCTCCTACCCTCCCTCCCCGTAGTCTTCTTGGAAATGTGACAGGTCCCAGAAGACGACGGGGCCATTCAGGAAGCGCAGCGCTACTCGTGCATGTGTAGTGGGCACCCGGCGGGGAAGCCTCAAGCTGTCACACTGAAGATGTCGGCGCCTGGAACACAGGACGATCGGTGAAACGAGTTGCGGGGAGGACACCACGGGATCGTGCGACAAGTGAGTGGCTGTTTTTTTAAAAGTCAGCAGCTACACTTTTTGTAGCTGCTGACTTTTATTTTTCTACAGTGTGAGTGGAACTCCGCTTTAAGGATATTCAGTTCAAGAATATTCAAGCATTTCCGTTCAATTTAAACTTAAAAAAATACATGCTCATTTACTATTCATTTATCTATTGAGCCCCTAGTAAATAGTCATGAATCAGGGCAGCAATTTAGCTCCACTGACATTCATCTCACACCATCCTACAAGAAATTTCCATACATAAATGCGTATTCTGAAGAGACCGCTAAACTCCAGAGGAAAAATAAAGAACATTTACCTCATGCTCAGAAGGACATCTCCATCACGAAAAATAAACAAGAGGATGTTTTCTTGAGTGACATCATGAAAATTGGCATTCTTTTCATTGGCAAAAAATAAATCTGGCTTCCACAGACACTTAAACATAGTCGGATCTACAGTGAGGGTATCTGAGCCTCTGAAATCACTGGGAAGTTTAAGCCGAGGGTCGTTCCACCTCTGCCTTAGGAAGATATTCACTCTGTAATCCTGTATTTAAAAAAAAATGCACATTAGCTCCATGACATATCCTAGCACTGGTCACCTAGAAACCAAACTGAAGGCCAACAGTAGTTGCAGTAATATATAGACAGTTGTCAACTCTTGTAACATGCTTATTAAACAGGACTTAACGTTCACAAACTTTCTCAGCCAACATTAGGTTTCTATGTACCTTCACACTTTTATTTATTTTTTAACTGCGTGAAATAAATCTGCACACTAATGACATTTAGCATCACTAAAACCAGTTAAGTCAATTTTACCTAAATGGATAAAGCATGGTCCTGGCACATAATATTTCCATAGTCATAATTTAACTTTCCAGGTTGCACTTTTACATATTTATGTTAGTGTTTAATACATTAGGTTTAACTTCATTTTAAACTGCATACATAAATGTGCTGCTTAATATATCAATTCAATTACTATACCTGTGCCATTTAATTTAATGACTCCAGAATTCCAGTGTTGATACAGTTAAAGACTATTAACGGCTTGATAAGTAGTATCATGATACATAAAAAGCAGAAAGCTGTAAAATGCCAGTGCATTGTTTACATCCAAATGTTTCCACCCTATAGCAGTTTTATAAATACAAGATTTTGCACTTCCACCTCTTGGGGACGTGCATGCGCTGCTGTTGGATCGCTTTTGCTGTGAACTGTGACCCAACGATCGTTGGGCAGGGGAGAAACAACAGAGCTGTGCCTAACAGGGAGGAGTGATTGATCGTGTATCTCTGCAAAGCTGGGAACATGATAAATCACTTCCCCTTTTACCAGCACCACCTAGTGTACAAGAAGCACATAGCTAGGCACACACCTAACCCTTTGATCACCCTAGATGCCAACACTCTCCCAACCAGTGTCATTAGTACACTGATCAGGGTATATTTTTAGCTGGGACCTGGTGATTGACACATACAGGAATCAATGACAGCATGGGTAGGTAGGTCCGTGTGTGTGTGTATATATATATATATATATATATATATATATATATATATATATATGTGATTATGCACAAAGCGGCCGCCCTGTAGCAGTAAAGCTGCTATAGGTCGAACGGCAAGTGGTTAACCCCTTCCTGCCCAGTGTCATTAGTACATCAACAGTGCTTTTTATTGGCACTGATCACTGTATTAGTGTCACTGGGGATGTCAGTGGCATTTGGTCGGTTCCCACCCAGTGTCAGATTGCCCGGCGTACTATCACAGTCCTGCTATAAATTGGTGATCGCCGCCATTACTAGTATATATATACTTCTTTGTAGGCGCTATCATTATTATGCAAATCATTTAATTACTTATTGGGATTTTGTTTTACCAAAGACATGTAGCAAAATACATTTTGGCCTAAATTTATGAAGAAATTTTATTTTTTTGATTTTTTTTATTGGATATGTTTTATGGCAAAAAACAAAAAAATTGGGTTTTTTTTGTAAATTTTCAGTCATTTTTCATTTATAGCGCTAAAAATAAAAAACCCAATGGTGATCAAATAACACTGAAAGAAATCTCTATTTATTAAAAATGATATAAATTTAGTATGTGTACAGTCTTGCATGCCTGTGCAATTGCCAGTTAACTCATTCCCTCCCAGCCTAATGCAAGATGGCGGCCGGCGGATCCCTATTATCTTGGGAGGACGTCATGTAGTGGATTGTGATAGACAGTCCACGTTTTATTAGATGATCAGTAAAATGACAATTTTATAGTCTTGCTACTTTATGTTTCTTGCTCTTTTAAAAGAAATTCCTTACTCTCTTAAGTAAACAATCAGATATAGGTTGACAGAACAATGATGATAATTAAGATGGCGCCTTCATCCGGAGTCTCACCCTTGGTGACTCATTAGGAGAAAAGTATCTTTTAATGTAAACAACCCCCATAAAAGGGAATGAGTCTCTTTGGGGACAATGATTGGAAGATATCAACACGGATGGACGAACACACAGAAACCCAGTGGACTTTTCACCCAATCAATGTATATGCTTTGCCTGCATCATATGCCCTATAAATGATACTGTTAGTTCCTCAATAAAACAGAATTTTAGGAAGTTGGCAAACTGCGAAGTGTCAGTGTCTTACTTCCACGTGCACGTATTCTCATATTAATTTGGCTCACTGGTAGATCACGGTAAAAGGTCTGTAAGTGACCTAGTCCAAGACATTTGTCGCCCAGCGTGGAGCCCGGGTTCTGAATACCGGATCAGCCGACCCAGAGTGGACGAGGGGGACCGTGGAGCATTCCAGACATGGAGACTGATCACCTCCGAAAGCGGTAAGTGAATGTCTAATAATTCCTTACCTGCGTAGTCTGGAATTGCCCAGCGGGACTACTCACCCGTCTGGCTGTCCGCTGATCAGCAAAGTGACAGGTATACTTGCCCGGGGCTCCTTTGAACCCACCTGTCAGTGTAACGTCATCTACCAGTGTGATATGTCTTGTCTTTTGTGTTGTCTGTGTGTACCAGTGTGATTGGTTGGGTTGTTGTTGATGCGCCTGTGAGGGAGGGGAGAATTACGGCAAAATATTCCTCGTCAGGAGTGGACAGGATACACCCTGATTTGAGAGAGGGTGCCGGGAACTCGCAGTCACAGTAATGGTGACTGACGAGGGGAACTGAACTCGCAGTCGCAGTAATGGTGACTGACGAGGGGAACTGAACTCGCAGTCGCAGTAATGGTGACTGACAAGGGGAACTCGTAGTCGCAGTAATGGTGACTCGAGGGAAAAAATAACCACAGCCAGGGATTGGTCTTGTGGGGGAAAAAGAAAAAAAAAAAAAAAAAACATTTTACTCCCAACAGGCGTGTCTGAAATACTATGTCATGATCACACTGTGTATGTGGATTAATATTTGGTGTACACGAAAAAGTGAGGAGAGTGGGGAATGGTGAAAGTAGTAGTAGTACAGTGACAATCGTAGCTCCTGATATATTGGTTCACAGGGTCCTCCCAGGATCGCATCTCCGCCTCCGGAGTGATCTGTCACTGGTTGTCTCCACAGCTGATCACAACAAAGACTACTGAATAAATCAGTTTCATTCAGTAAAAATGCTTGCTTATACCAATGAAATTCGTTGGTACAAACGATTATAATGTGTAATAAAAAAAAAAAATCCTGATCACTTGCCCAGACTACCATAATGTTAATATGGTAACATTGTACTGCTCTCGCAACAGGAGTAGAAAATAAAATCATTAAAAAAATGTAAAAATGTAATAACATTTTTTTTTTATTAAAAATGTAATTTTTTAAAAAATATTTATTGTTATTAATTTTTTGCATACTGTCGCCAGTCAGTGTCCCTGATCACCGCTGTACCAGTTATTTGATGACACTGTACTGCATTGGTGACAGTATGTAAAAAAAAGGTGTGAAAAGATTTTTTTCATTTCTTCATTTTCCACAAAAATTATGACAAAAAAATTACAACTTCAAAATACTCGCCATGCCTCTTACTAAATACCTCAGACAGTCTACTTTCCGAAAAGTGGTTATTTGGGGGTTATTTGTACTGTCTTGGCGTTTTTGTGCCTCAAAAAATTTGATTTTTTTTTTTATATATACCATTGTTTGTGGACTCTATAACTTTCCTACCAACTAAATAATAAACACTGATTTGGGTTATTTTCACCAAAGAAATGTAGCAGAATACATTTTGGCCTAAATTGTGTAGAAAGATTATTTATTTGCAAAATTTTATAACGAAAACAAAGAAAATGTTTGGTCTTTTTTCATTTATAGCGCAAAAAATAAAAAAACCTATAGGTGATTAAATAACACGAAAAGAAAGCTCTATTTGTGTGAAAACAATGATAAAAATTTCCTAAAGAGTACAGTGTCGCATGACTGCGTAATTTTCATTCAAAGTGCAACAGTGCTGGAAAGTAAAAATTGGCCTGCGCAGGAAGGGGGTAAAAGTGCCTGGTAGGCAAGTGGTTAAAGTAGCGCAGTGCCATATTGCAAAAATGGTCTGGTTATGTAAGGGCGTAAATCTTCCAAAGGGCAAAAAAAATTGTGCTGCAGACCTCAGCACTTAGCGTTTGAGCTTTGTGCTTTCCTTTTGAAGGATGTCATTGCTTGGCAATTAGTATGTGAAAGTCATTTCTCCTCTTTTAGAATTTCAGGTGTCTACACTACCTTGCAGGGTCTCATGGACCACTTGCATACTCAATCTCAATAGGGACTACAGATGGACCTTCCTATTCTGCATTTTCTGACACGCACAGACAAACCTAAAGCTCATAACACCAAGCCACTCCCCAACTCCTCCTCCAAGGCAATTGATTACCCACTTGCCCTCCTGAGGATTAACCTCCCTTCCTGACCAGGCCATTTTTTATGTTGCGGCGCTGCGTTACTTGAGTTGAAAATTGCGCAGTCATGCAATGCTGCACCCAAATGAAATTTACGTCCTTTTCTCCCATGAATTGAGCTTTCTTTTGGTGGTATTTGATCACCTGTGCGGTTTTTTTATTTTTTGCACTATAAACAAAAAAAGACAGACAATTTTCAGAAAAAAATTATAATTTGGAATTTGTGCTATTAAACATGTCCAGTAAAAAAAATAAAAAAAATCTAATTTTGTCATAAATTTAGGCCAAAATGTATTCTGCTACATGTCTTTGCTAAAAAAAATCCCAATACTTGTAAATTAATTGGTTTACATGAAAGTTATAGCGTTTACAAATGGCAGTATAGATACTGGGATTTTTTTTCCTACTAGTAATGGCGGCGATCAGGGACTTTTAGCAGGACTGCGGCAGACAGTACACAGAAACCTTGGTATCGATCTCCCTGTAGTGGAGTCCTCTGGTAAAAGGGCAATAGGAAGTGCTTGAGTACCCTATAAAAGGGGTCTGGATGGAGGTGGTAATAATTGTGGGACCTGTGGTGTTATGTGACATCTGGTCAGACTAAGCTCTGAATAGTGGAATTTTCACTGTCAAAATGGAAAATTTTAACACTGTACAACTGAA